AGCTTAAATCAAATATGGGTATTGTTGAATTTTTGTTCAAAATGAGTTTAATTCAAGCTTAATTATGTTCAAAAAAAAAAAAAATCTGTATTCAGTGACTAATGCAGGAGATGGATTACATATGCTTAAGCAATGAGCCATTGAATAATTGTAAAGTTGATATGGAAGATGATTGCCCTTCTCCTCCTAATGAGTGTTCCTCAAAAAAAGAAATTCAAGAAAAAAAGGATGGACTAGAATTTGGAATGGAGTTTAGTTCAGATGAGGGCACATACCAGTTCTCCCTCAACTATAGTGGTAAACTTGGTTTCGATGTAAGGAGAAATCATCACAGGAAAAATAGAAATGGGATTATTACTAGGGTTAACTTTTGTTGTTCAAAAGAAGGTAAAAGAAGAAAAAATAGAAGAATACTTCCTACCATCAACTCATAACTAGAGTTGGTTGTGAGGCTCAAATGACATGTCTACTTCAAAATAATGGAAAATTCAAGGCTGTGTTATTGAACAAAAGTCATAATCATGACTTGGTTAGAACCCCTACAAAACATATGTTGAGAGTTAATCGAAGTATTTCTAAGGCTCAAAAAGCACATGCTGAAGATGCAGACAGGTCGGGATTACCAATAAAATCAACTATGGAGTTGATGAGCAGAGAAGTTGGGGGGAGAGAGAATCTTGGTTTCTAAATAAGGATTACCGAAATTACATACAAAAAAAGCGAAATATGGCAATGGAAAAAAGAGATGCTGGAACTATATTAGAGTATTTTCATAATATTCAGCTGAGGGATCCATCATATATTTACTCACTATAACTTGATGTGGATGATATGATTACTAATATTTTTTGGGCGGATTCACGCTCAGTTAGTGATTATGGACTCTTTGGAGATGTTGTGTGTTTTGACACTACTTATCGGACAAATGAATATGGTCGACCTTTTGCACCATTTATTAGGGTGAATCATCATAAGCAAACAATCTTATTTGCTGCAGTTTTACTTTATGATGAAACCACTGCATCATTTAAGTGGTTGTTTGAGACTTTCCATGGTGCAATGTCTGAAAAACAGCCTAAGACGATTCTTATAGATTAATCTGCTGCAATGGCTAAAGCAATATCATAAGTATTTTTTGAATCTCAACATAGGATATGTGTTTGGCATATTTATCAAAATGCCACGAAGAATCTGAGCTATGTATTTCATGCATCAAGCCAATTTGCTTATGATTTTGGCAACCGTGTGTACGATTATGAAGATGAAGATAAATGGCTATTGGCATGGAAAAGTATATTGGATAAATATAGTCTCAAAGAGAATAAATGGTTGAAATAGTTATTTGAAGTAAGAGAAAAATGGGCAATGGTTTATGGACGACACACTTTCACTACTGACATGAAAGCTAGTCAACGTAGTGAGAGCATGAATAGTGTGTTGAAGAATTACTTAAAGCCAAAGCTTAATCTTTTGCGTTTCTTGGAGCATTATGAGAGGGTTTTGAATGATCGTTGATACGAAGAGCTATTTACAGATTTCAAGATGATGCAAAACATGCCTGATTTGTTAACTAATGTGGATACTTTACGTCATGGGGTAGAAATTTATGCTCCAAAAATTTTCAAATTGTTTCAGAAAGAGTATATGAGGTTGGGTGATTACAATATATACAACATGGCTAAGGAAGGGTCAAAAGTTGAATACAAAGTATCTTGTGTCGGAAAATCTCAAGAACATGTGGTTAAATTTGATGCTCCAACACAAACAATCACTTGTAGTTGTATGAAGTTCACTTTTATTGGAATTTTATGTGTCCATGAATTGAAAGTGTTGGATAAGAAAAATATAAAAAGGATTTCATCTCAATATATTATGAAACGATGGACAAGAGATGCAAAAGCAAGGACTATCACCAACTATCATGGAATTGCAGCCAGTGACAGTCCTACGGTGTCTGTGGGAAAGCACTACAACCATTTGTGTTGAAATTTTCGTGAAATTTCATCTTTAGCCTCAGAACACAAGAAATTATATGCATATGCAAATGAGCATGCTCTTGTGTTGCTTAATGGCTTAGAGGAGATGAAGAAAGAAATTTTCTTAAGCAGTGCTGAAAGTTCAGTTTGTCAAAATGAGGAAGGTGAAATGATAGCTCCACGAAATGATTGTGTACCGATCGGGGTTAAAAGAAAAGCCACAGTTGGATGCCCACATAGTCGACTATTAAGCGCCCTTGAACGACGAAAATAAAATCGTCTCCCAAAACCACCAAAGTTTAGTCAAGACAACAAAATGCCACACAAGTTTGCTTTGAAACTTTGTAAATTAATTAAATGTGTTATTTTTATTGTACTTTTTTTTTTTTTTTTTTCACTACATATTTTAGGAGCCGATTTCCAGTACTTATAATTTACAAGAGCAACAAGTTGGAGCTGGACATGGAGTTGTTCAGCAAACATTTGATAATTTGACTTAAGTAATACACTTTTGATTTGTCTTTCTATGTTTTTCTCTACATTTGATAAATTTCGGTTTCTACCCATAACTTTTACCTACAACATGATTTCTCTTTTAAAATTTGTGTTCACAGAACTTGTAAATTAATTAAATGTGTTATTTTTATTGTACTTGTTTTCTTTTATTCTCACTACATATTTTAGGCGCCGATTTCCAGTGCTTATAATTTACAAGAGCAACAAGCTGGAGCTGGACATGGAGTTGTTCAGCAGACATTTGATAATTTGACTCAAGTAATACACTTTTGATTTGTCTTTCTATGTTTCTCTCTACATTTGATAAATTTTGGTTTCTACCCATACCTTTTCCTACAACATGATTTCTCTTTTAAAATTTATGTTCACATAACTTGTAAATTAATTAAATGTGTTATTTTTATTGTACTTATTTTCTTTTACCTTCACTACATATTTTAGGTACCGGTTTCCAGTGCTTATAATTTATAAGAGCAACAAGCTGGAGCTGGACATGGAGTTGTTCAGCAAACATTTGATAATTTGACTCCAGTAATATACTTTTGATTTGTCTTTCTATGTTTCTCTTTACATTTGATAAATTTTGGTTTCTAGCCATACTTTTTCCTACAACATGATTTCTCTTTTAAAATCTGTGTTCACAGAACTTGTATCATATTGCCCATGGAATGCCTTCAGGAATGCAGTTAGTGATGAACTCTAATAAAAATTGGCTATCCAATATGAATTACACACAATTACTTCAGGTAAGCAATACTTCAGCCACTCAATTTGCTATAGACCCTTTATTTATATTAACTTTCTCATTATTATTATTTTACAATGCTTGTAGGAATCTATGAAACATTACAGTAACCTTCCACAAAGCACAGAAAAAGCAACAACTTATGTCAAGATAACTTGTTGGGATAGGATTTGCTGAAGTGTTGGTGTCATTATGAAGATAACTTATTTCAATCAAATAGACATTTTCGCTCTTTTGCTCTGTTGATTTGCTGCAATTTTAGAGGCTTAAGTATTGGTTTATTGTATTTGATATACCATGTACTCTGTTTATTTTTCTCTATTGGTTCGGCTTAAGTGTTGGTGTAATTATGCAGATAACTTATTTTAATCAAAAGACATTTTCGCTCATTTGCTCTATTGATTTGCTGCAATTTTAGAGGCTTAGTCTTGGTTTATTGTATTTGCTATCATGTACTCTATTTATCTTTCTCTATTGGTTTGGCTTTTTTTGTGATGCAAATTTATGTCTTTAGTTTGATGTCTTGGGCAAAATGAAAAGTGTAATACACATTATCTGGAGTAAAAATTATTTACAAAATATAAATTATTAAAATGAAACAATAATGTATAGAAAAATGCATGAGAAATCCTCTGATGCAGAAAAAAAATAATAATAATAAATAAATAAATAAAAGCATCCTAAACTAGTTTCTGGATTTCTTTAGACTTCAAAGAAAACAATTTTTTTATCATCTCCATGGCTTTACTTTTCTGATTCATGAGCAAACAAGGAGGATAGAGAAACAAGGAGAGAGAGAAACAAGAGTAAACATAAACCCTAATAAAAATATAGTACATTAGTTTAGAATTGAAGAAATTAGTCATGGAAAGTAAAACAAAACCCTAACAAACAGTTGAATCGCATAGGCATACAGACAAAATCTTAATCAACATACTCTCTAGACTCCTCGTTCTAAATATACTGCAATACAGATGTGTCTGCAAATCATGGCAATCTATGATCTTCTATCCCCAATTCATCAAAACCCACCTCCACCAATCAACCCAATCCCTCGACATCCAAAGACTCAAAGAAAACAATTTTTTTATCATCTCCATGGCTTTACTTTTCTGATTCATGAGCAAACAAGGAAAGAGAAACTAAAATGGGTCAGTTAAATGGGTACAACCCATGTTTTATATTTTTTAATGGAACGGAGATGTGGCAAATTTTTATTGGGCAACGTCAGTTTGGAGGACAATTCTCACTACAAGGAAAATGGTTATTAGTGACAGACCTTTAGGGACAGTACAAAAAACAGTCCCTAAAGACCCTATTTTTAGGGACGGACTTTAATTACTGTCACTAAAGACATACTTTTTGGTGACAGTCCAACCTGTCTGTCCCTAAAAGACCAAAAAAAATATAAAAAACCCTCCAATCTGGTGGCGGCAAAACTTAGCGCCATTTTTAGTGAAATTATAATTTTTTTTAATAAAAAAATTATCAAAATAGCCTTTTGGAATGGTAAAGTTACCATCCCTAAAAAGCCACTGCAACATTAGTGACAGCCCTTTAATGACAGTCCAAAACCCCGTCTCGAAAGACCCTCCTTTTGGTGACGGTACACGTAAACGCTCGCAGCAAATTTTTTTTGGGGGAAAGTTTAGCGCCCTTCCTTCGACGATATGCGTGTCAAAATATATATATATATTTTTACTTTTTGGGAAAAGAAAAATTAATGGTCAGACGTTGTCGTTTTGGCTTATTTGTATACTTTTACCCAATTCCCAATCTCAGTCTTCTCTCTCTAGAACATCCCACAGATGCCTCTCTCTTGGTACAATCACTCTGTACTCCACCGGAGGCCTCTCTCTCTACCAGCACTCTTCTAGTTCGTCTTCCCTCATAGTTCGCAGGACGCCTCCCTTTCTCTTTATAATCACTCTTTCCTCAAGCTCAACAGATCGTCCGGGTTTGTGTCCTTCTTCACTTACTGATCGAGTTTTTATTATTATTTTTTATTTTTTTATTTCTTTTTGTTCACGCACAGAGAATTTTTTTTTCTTTTTGTTTCTCTTTTTTACAGTTTGATCATATGCATCAGATCTGTTCTCTTCTAGGGTAAACTTTGGCAGATGAAGCTTGGGAGAAAATACAATTAAAGTTGCTCTCAGTTTCTTTCATATTCCATTTTGGTAATCAAAATTTTCGGCAGTTTTTTTTTTTTTTTTTTTTGCTTTATTATTATTTTTTGTACTTCGCTTAATATTATTTTTATATTCTTTAGGTTTTTGTTATTTTGTTTATTTTAGAGTAATTTGAATAAAAGAAAATGTCAGGTCTGGTCAACAAGTTTATCTTTGCTATTATTTCAGGATTAATTAATTAATTAATATCACATCATCGTTCTTGAATTAAAGGTTGGGAAGTTAATAGCTTGAGATTTTTTTCATCTAATTCATTTATTGTTATTTCATCACTTTTTTTTGTTGATTGTGAAAGGTGAATATATATAATTTAAGGGCTTAAATATATTTTTGAATTTGAAATGTTCAAAGAAGAAATTCAGAGCCATTTGGTACTGGTAACCTTTGAAAAATGAATTAAAAAATTAGGGGTTAAAAGAACAGAATTAACAAAAGTAAATCAATGTATTATGTAGCTCTTAAATAAATACTAACATGTCATATTCCATTGATTTTCACTTGATAATAGAAAAGTAAGATGGTATAAAACAAAGCAATTTTTAATCTAGCCTTCTATGGGTCTGTTGTCATTTTTCTCTATGGAACAACAAGCTTATAGAAGGACCAACAATTTTCTTGTTAATTTATGGTGGAATAAAATGCTAAACTAGATATATTACATATTACCATCAAGTTTTCCAAACCCTGCCTCTTTATGTGTGTGTGTGCACACATCATGACAACATTTTGATTCTGATACATTCATTTTGTTACATGGTTTACTTGCTTGATTATTTTAATCTATTACTTTATGAATCCCGCAATGCCCTCATCTTTTCTTGTTAATTACACATTTGAGTGCTACTCAATCTCAATTCTCAAATTGTTGTACGTACACTCATTCATATAGTGACCTTACTCGCAACTACCTTAACGGTACTATTCCTCCAGAATGGGGTTCCATACAACTAGTGAACATGTATGTATCAACTGCCCCCTCTCTGTGTGTATATATATATATATGTTATACACAAACACACACATCCATATTGAAACTTCTCTTGTTCTAACAAATATATGACATGATGGTTTTGTTGCCGCTCTCTCCTTGGAAATCGATTAACAGGTTCAATCCCAAAAGAATTTGGAAACATAACCAGACTCGGAAACTTGTAAGATTTAGATAACCAATTTCTTTCACATTTAGGTACATTTGATATAAAATTATGCTTTTATGATTTTAATTTTGGTATTTTTAGAGTCCTCAGGGACAATCAGCTTTCTGGAGGTATTCCTCTAGAGCTTGGGAATCGTCCCAACTTGGAGAAAATGTAAAACCCTTTTATCTGTTTTTTGATTTTATGGTGTTAGTTTTGTCTGTGTACTTTATGAATGTGTAATTTTATTTTTTTAAAAAAAATTGGTAATACGTTTGAGGGTTCAATTTGAAATTTGAGGTCAATTGACCATTGGCTTAATTAATTTTTGTTCTTGAAGACTCCTAAGCTCAAATTATTTTACTGGGGAGTTGCCGAGAACACTTGCAAATCTGACCACTTTGAAGGACTTGTAAGTGTCAAAAGTTGGTTTATTTTTTGTTTTTCTAAATACTTATTTATTTCTTATTTTTAGAATTAATTGTTCTTCTATTTTTTTTTTTCTTTTTTTTTTTTTCTTTTTTTACACATTGCAATAGGATTAGCAACAACAACTTTAAAGGAAAGATACCCAATTTCATCCAAAACTGGACAAAACTCCAAAACTTGTAAGATTTTTACTTTACTTGTTTTGATATTTCAATTTTTCTTTGGAAGATGTTCTCTATTTAACCGTTCATTTAAACAAAATTATGACAGGATGATTCAGGCTAGTGGTTTGGATGGGCCAATTCCTTCTGGAATTTCTCTCTTGGAAAATTTGTCTGACTTGTTAGTAAATTCTTATAATCTCATAGCTTTACCCTTTTATATAAGAAAATATCTAATTTATGTTTATTCTTTGATAAATAAAAACAAATGCAGGAGATTCAGTGACTTGAGTGGAAGTGAAACAGCTTTTCCACCTCTTAGTAATATGAAAAACCTGAAGACACTGTACGTAGAAAACTTCTATATTCTCTTATGGAATATATTAATATCTTCTTGGTGTTTTGGAATGATATATATTTGATTGCATCGCAGGATATTAAGGAGCTGCAATATTATGGGACAGATACCTGATTATCTTGGAACAATGACAAATTTGAAAACCTTGTTAGTTTTTTTCCATTCTCCATTTTCATGTCTCTCATTTTCTTAAAAAGCGTTTTGATCACATACTTATCTCTTGTTTGATAGCTCAAAAGCTTACTAAAACAGTAGTAGAATTTAAATATATATTCTCTATATTTTTGTTGTCTTCCTTGTGTTATTGAACATATGGGTACCTTTAAAACAATTGAGTGATGTTATATAGTATTATTAAATGAAATGTTTCCTATTATATATGTGCTTTAGTTTGATGAACTTTTGGCACAATAAAAAATAATATGGCAAGTGGACTTGTGTATTTATTAAATAAGTTTAAGTTTACTCAACTATCTTTATTCTTTAATTTTACATATGTAAGCAAAACTCTTAGTACTTCTTTCCAGAAAAAGAATTGTTTGTACTTTCGTCAACTTGACAATTGCTTCAACATTAGACAATACAAAGTTATCTTGGAGCCTTCATTTATATTTTTCTTTGCTGGTCCCTTCGGTTCTTAATGTTTAAGTTCTGTTTATATTTCACTTAAATTTGATCGTGTTCCATGTTTTTTTTTATTAAATTTGGATCAAAATTTATTGTTTCGATGAGTCACATTATTGGCAATTTTTGGAGTACCAGCACTTCTACAATTTACCTTGTGAAATTTTTTGTATGATCCAGATGTTTGATTCATCTTTATGTGTATCTTATCTTTCTTCTCAATGAGACCAGATTTATATAGCATCATTCTCCATTGGAATGGTAGTAGTTCCTCATTTTTAAGTACTTCTCATTGGAATGGTAGCAGTTCCTCATTTTAAGTAATTCTTTGTACCCTTTGACTATGGATCTAACAATATCCACTTTCTCTCTCTATACAACTATTCAATTTGTAATGAGACTATATTGGTCTTTGCTCGTTAAGCACCAAAGCACAAGGACAAGGACAAGGACAGATGTTTTTATTCCTCAAGTGAATGAGATTGCTTATTGAAATAGACAAAGTGGATTTTGAGGCAAGATCCCTATGTTTGCATATGTTTCTTATCTCTCCCTTTCTCTCTTTCTATATATGTATATTTAGATCTATATTGTGTTGTTTCTTGAATTTTTCTACTGGTTAATTCTTATACACAACTATTCAATTTGATTTGGTTTTTAAAAAATAATTGGAGGCAATAATCCTACATTTAAAGAGAAATTCGTGTTTACTCTGATTTGAGGGCTTGGAAAGTTAAATATTGTGATCTGGAATAGCAATATTATCTCTCTGGTGTTTTGCTACTTATAGGGTCCAATCACAAAATGTCCTTTTTCAAGGCTACAATGACAACCTTCACCACTTTAGACTGACAAATATATGTTCTTGACTAAAGATCATTACTTCATGATTAACTCAGGTCTGGTGAATTTTGATTACTTCTGTCAAATTCATAAGATCCTAATTTAAATGAATGATGAGGTTGTGTTTATTTGTAATTCAATTGGGGGACTTAGTTTATCTTAATTTGGTTATTTTCCAGCTGTAAAAATGGATTGTTGCAGTTCTTTTCATGGTTCTTGTCTACGCCAGCGAGTCAGTAAGGATCTACCTATTTAGAAATATACTTATGTCTTCTTTAACAATTTTGATGTAAAAGGACACTATATGTTTCATTATTACATTATATATTGGGGATGGTTTGGTCAATTATCTCTGGAAGTTTACAAAATTATCACTTACTGCAATTAGTTGGGGTGGAGGCTTTTTTTTTAGTTAAATTAAGTGTCATTTATTGTATTTCTAATTCATGTTTACAATGTCAATCAGTGAAGTATGAGCCATCTTCTAGCAGTGTTCTTGGACCCAATGTTATTTACAACTCCAAGAATCAAGGTGATTCAGGTTCCCGTGGATAGTTGCATATGTTGTCTACATCAGTTCTTCTACCTGAGTGACCTGATCAACCTGGATGCCGATATTTCATTAGCACTGGAAGATGCAAATATTGATTTGATTGCAAGTATAATCATCTTATGAAAGGAAGCTTAGTTGTTCATCTTTCAGCGGCATTCAGCACCATTACCATAACCACCTGAATAACTAATATGATTGTCTTCTCTTTAGTCAATTGAATATTAAAGACATTTTAGCATTGTAGTTGAATATTTAGTTAATATTGTGTAATCTTTTTGGTTAATGGATTATTTGAGTTGGTATGTTTTGTTGAATATTTGGCTAATTATATTATGTTGTAAACATTTTATTATGATAATTAATGGTTTATTTCCGTCTCTCTTATGCTGAATATTTGGATTTCTAATTTGTTATAAAAAAAACTTGACAAAAAAAAAAAAAAAACGCAAAAACACAAAATTCAGCATACCAATAATTATAATAATTAAATAAATAAAGCATTAGGGACAGTTTCAAACTGTCACAAAAATAATAAAAAAATTAAAAAAATAAAGCATTGGGGACGGTAAATACCGTCCCTAATAAATTTTAGTGACAGTATTATTTGGGACAGTAAGCCCGTCCCTAAAGCTTGAGTTTTTTGGTGACAGTTAATTTTTTCGGTACCTAAAAATCTTTTGCGACGCTCTAATTAGTGACGGACGGATTTGATCATTAGTGACGGTTTTGGGGCTTTTTGGGACGGTCTTGACTGTCACTAAAACCCTAATTTCTTGTAGTGCTCTTATCCTGATAAGGCAGGACCCAAGCATTACTCTTGCGAAGATTCATACTATAAAGATGGGCATTTAAGTAAATTAATTGATTTGATATTTTATAATAGAAATTAATTAAATAATAAGGGGTAATCTAGACATTTCACACCCTTTTCTAATTGGAAAATTGAGAGGGAGTGTCAATGTAAAAAAATGGCTAAAATTTCATCTAACTGTCAATAAGACAAACCTCAAAAGATGTGAGTGTAATTAATCCATTTTTGTATTTGATTCTAGCATATATATATATATATATGTGTGTGTGTGTGTATATATATATATAACTTTCATAAGAATTTGGATTGACATCCAACGGCAGAGGACTGAGACAGACATACTCGTGAAAACATGATAGTCAGCTGCTAAAGAAAACAATCAGCCAATCCTTAGGTGACACGTTGCTACCTTTACCTTTGCCAACCAATCTATACTGTAGCATACAGTAAGACCTCCTCTCATATCTCTCCTTTACTACTCTCACAGCAAAAGCTTCAGAGTTCAACAATGGCGTTCTCTACCCTTCTCGCCACCCCCTTCATGAAACCCTTCTCCTCGACCATTTCATTCGCTCGTTCCGCCTCTCATCTCCACCCATCAGCTGGCACCATTTCTCCATTGATTACAGCATCAGACTCCGATTCCGACTACTTCGAAGCCCCAATCCTCAAAGGTACTATACTACTATATAACTATATATAAACACACACACAAACGCACATATATATAATAACTTGTTGTATGTATATAAATTTGAATTTGAATGAGTACAGGTTGTTCATTGAAGAACCCATTCTTAGCCAAAGGAAGGTTGGTCCCTTATGTGGTGAAAGACAGAGAGGACTCGTTTATGGCGAAGGTGGATTTGCCTGGTATTTCCAAGGCATATCTGAGGGTTTGGGCTGCAACCCACTTTCTCCACATCAAAGCTGAAGAAGTGGAAGACGGTGTTGATGGAGCTGTTTCCGATGAAGACATCGACGATGAAGAAGAAGGTTCGAGGAAGTACTTTGGGTCAATCCCTATTCCAGAAGGCGAGTACTACAAGATGGACCAGATCGAGGCTCAGATGAGGAACGGTGTTCTCAAGCTCGTCATTCCCAAGCTCAAGCTTGAAGAAAGAGAGGACGTCATCAACGTCATAGTCAACAACTGAGCTTTGATTCGCTTCGTATGGTTCTTGAGCTTTGATGGAGCTTTTATCTAGGGCTTAACTTGTTTTTTTGTGGTTAATGAATTGAACATTATGGTATAAGTACTTGAATTTCAAGGGATGCTTTTATTACTATTACTTTAGCTTGTTTAATATTTCTGTTATTTTATGTGTGTGTTTGTGTGTGTGAAATTTGGAGAGTCTGAAACAAAGAGAAGGTTGGTTAGCAATGGTGGTCGCTGGTGATGGTGGTGACCGAGAAACAAGGATGATGGCCAACATGCGCTTTGTGTTCTCTATTTCAAAGAGGCAGGGGATTAGTTAACGGAAGTCTGAACCGTTTGTTAAACTCCGTTATCTTTAGCTTTAACATCAATTAGTCATTAAAAATATCAATATTTTTCTCTTCACATAATTGAAGGAGTAAAAAAGAGTTTCAATAATTTTTCTTTTTCTTTAAAAAAAAAATTAAAATAAATTAGTGGCTCATGGGTGATGACCAACATGGAATATAATCAGACCCTTTGACCTATTGGGCTGTGCCCCATGTCCTATGGCCTGTATGGCCTAAAAATTCCATTTTGCATGTATGTTACCTAATGTCATTAATTACCTCAACACTGCAATGTCAGTGGTTTCTTTGAATTCTTTCTATTTTCATCAAATAATTAAATTAAAATTTGCAATAATATCTCATTTTTGTCTGAGTCAAATTCTGCTTCCTGGTTCAGAGATTCTGACCTCAAAATAATTTAACCAAATAATTACCCAACAATCTCCGCCCTGCAAGCAACGCACCAATCTAGTGAAAACACTGTGTGTGTGTATATATATATATATATATATATATATATGTATGTAACTAACGAGGCTCCTCTCACCACTTTCAGCATTGGTCAAGAAGTGAAAAAAACTAGTAAGTAGTCTTTGGGTTTTTGAAATTTGGAGAGTTTGGGCTTCTCTCTGTTTCCCAAGTATTTTTAGGTTGGTTTGGGCCAAAGGCCTTTCACTGTACATTTTACTCTATTAAATATTTAGATTGTGTGTGTATTAAACTGTTAAATGTTTATTTTTGTTAATTTTGGATAATACTATAAAATTAACAAAAAAAATATATAATAATAAAATAAAATAAAATCGATCTCACCATTTTCCTTATCATGTAAAATTTGTCACGCATTTAGGGTAATGTACAACTTAGAAAGTAGTAAATAACTTTTTATCTGAATAATTGCTTTGACAATAAATATAATGGTTTGTTATTCTTTAATTCAGTATTATAAATTTAAGTATAAAAGTTTAGAAGCTTGATAATAAATAACGAATGTATTAAATTTTAAAAAGTTTGGAGCATGCTTGGTTTGTAAGTTTGAAAATAGTTTTTAGAGAATAATAAAAGATAATTCTCTACGAATAGATATTTTTATAAATGAGTTTTTAGAAAATTGAAAATTGAAACAATTTTTTAGCATATATGTGTATATGTATATTTTTTGAAAGTTAAAAGTAATTCACTCAGACACTCGCTTCCACCGATAAATAATATTTTCACTTAATACAATTACATTGTCATGGACTTATATTCCTATTTTGAAGTTATACATGAAATTACATATATTGACTTAAATAAGAAGAGTAGAAATAAAAAGAACAATGGAATTTTAAGAAGTGGAAAACAAAACAAAAAAAAAAAAAAAAGCCAAAAAAAGGCCCAAAAAAAAACAAAAAACAAATATTAGAGAAATGTGGGAAAAAAAATTAGAATTTAATTGAAGAAGGCTTATTTATTTATTTATAAGAAATCAAAAAATTTTGGAAAGTAAAAATGAAACGAAAGAAATATTAAGAGAGGCATTAGATAAAAGGGGCAAATCGACCCTCTGGGTAGGGCTGTAACTTAGGCGGGTTAGCCCAGCCCAACCCGTAATTTTTAAAATTGGGTTTTAAATTCACAAATCGGGTTCATGTTCAGGTTGGGTTTTGTCAAAATCCAGGCATATTCGGGTTGGACCCGGGCTCAACCCGAACACAACCCGAAACCCAATTTTTTTTTTTTTTTTTTTCTCCTTTCTCTCTCATCTGTCTTCATTTTTTTTTCTCTCTCTCTTTGCCGCTTGAGAGTTGAGAGACAGCGGCGAGATCCACCGGTGCCAAGAACGCCTCCAGAGACGGCGACCTCCGCCGGAGAGATGAGAATATCACCAGATCCGTTGTCAATACAAATCTTCCCACTTTCTGCAACTTGTAATTTGTCGACGAAGAGGAAATGAAATTCCTTTTTTCCAAACAGAGAGAGCGGGGTAAGCTTGAGAGTTGAGAGACAGCAGCTGAAGCTTGCGCACGGCGAACCTGAACTGGAACAGCGGGCGATGGAAACTGAAAGATATGGGTTTTGATTTTTTGAACAATCTGAAATGATATGCCGATGTGGGTTTTGAACTTTTGATTCTTGCAGACAGATAGGTAAAACTGAAATATATGGGTTTTGAACTTCTGATTCTTGTAGATTTAGTAATTTGCAGTTGGAGGAGAGAGAGAGAGAAAGAGAAAGAGAGAGAAGGGGTTCAGAGATAATGGAGATGGAGGCGACAGGGGAGGCTGAAGTGATTTGCCCTAAAGATATTTTGTTTTAATATATAATATTATATATATATATATTATATTATATTATATTATATTATATATATAATTATATATTATATAAAACAATTATCAATAAATATATACGATTTTGTTTATTATAATATATTATAATAATCTATTTATATTATATAATATATTATATTATATATAAATTTATGAGAAAAAAAATTTTAAAAACTCAACCCGTCAACCCGACCCAACCCGTCCGAAAATATTTGGTCCGGGTTATGATCATAACCCATGTTGAGTTTAATTCGGGTTGACCTAATCCAACTCGCTTCAGGTTGAGGTTGGGTTCGGACTGGGTTGGGTTGAACTAGCCCAAGTTGCAGCCCTACCGGGTTTTAATCGAACCCACCCCAATGTATGAATTTGTAATATGATTTCGTGATAATTTGAAACAAGAAAAAATCCTGAATAGGAATGAATAATATCGAATTTGATGGCCTAAATCAGAGGGGAAAAAAAATTTAAACCGTGTGTCAAACTTTAGATGAAAATAAGCAATTTAACTATAATAAGGTTTCACACAGTTTCTGTACACTTGTGGCCACGTCATAGGTGAAAGTACCAGTGTGATTCAAAATTAAGAGCAGCTCCAATGGTGTAAAATTTGAAGATTTTGGGTTGAATTTGAAGATTGGGCTGCTCCATTGGACTCTTCATAAAGTGGGCCTCATTAAGACAATCTTGATCCAAGTCTTTAAAAACCAAGATTAGTCTGGAGAATTGCAGGCCTAACATGCGGGTCCGCATCAGTTTTATTTTTCTTTTTAAATTCAGGCCGCCCAAAACACTGTTTTGCTGGAAAAAAAAAGGAAAAAAATAGTTTTTTGCCTGATTTTGGTCTGTTTTTTTTTTCCTCAAAATAATTGAACCAAAGAGCCATTAAGGTACTGTTTGGTTGACACAAACAATGCTTTAAAGACTTTTTTGAGCAAAAAAAGTTAAAAAAAAATAGATAAAAGTGTTTTTTTTAAAAAAATTTGCTTTTTAAAATATTCCTACTGACATATAGCCGTTAAGGCACTGTTTGGGTCACCCAAACAGTGCCTTAACGGGTATATTGGCACAAAAACTTATTTTTTGATTTTTTTTTTTGAAAAAAATTCATTATATATATATTTATTTATAAAAATAAAAAATCCCTTTCATTTTTCCTCTATAAATACATCAACCTCTACTATTATTCACCTCATATCCAACCCATCTTCTCTAGTTTTCACCCTACAACTACTACTATTAAGTCATTTTCTTAATCTTTTAGTTATATTTTTTACTCCAGTTTAATTCCATGGATCCTTCACCACCATATTACAACTACAATTCCCAATTCAACCAATCAAATGATAATTTTGATCCCTTCTTATTTGTTGAAAAAGAATCTCAATTTGTTGGAGATGAATCTCAATTTCCGTCTCATCAACCTTCTCAAGTTTCCAACATTCCTACTGAAGTGCCACAATCCAGTAACTCCCAACCTCCTCGAAAGCAAAGGGCTATTCGACCTCCTAATTGGTCCATGGTTGAAGATGAGGCTTTATGTTATGCGTGAATGGCCATTGGCACTAATGCGGTCATCGGTTCAGACCAACAAAAGACAGCGTTATGGATCCGAATTCAAGAAAGTTTTGAGCAACACGTTAGTGGTGCTGGTACACCTAAAAGAAAATCGTATCGCCTGCTTGAATCGTTGGTCCATCGTGCAACAAATGATTACCAAATTTTCTGGATGCATGGCCCAGATCGAAATTAATTACCCAAGTGGGCAAGACAATGAGTACAAGGTAAGTTATTTATTATATTAAATTTAATTGGTAGATATTTTAAAGATTTGTCTTCTAATAATTCATCCTTCTTATTTTTTTAGATGATAGCAGCGAAAGAGTTGTTTGCTCGTCAAAATAACACCAAATTTAAGTTTGACAGTTGTTGGAACATTTTGAAGAGCAACAATAAGTGGCATTTACATTGTCAAAAAGAATTGACATAAAAAAAAAAAAAAAAAAAAAAAAAAAAAAAAAAAAAAAACAGTCAAAGAAGAGGAGTGGAATCCACATTGATGACAGTGAGCCTATTGGTCACTCAAACCCATCTACTCCATCAAGTAATGCAGCAACAACACCAAGTTCGGTTGAAGGATCGGCGCACATAGGCGAAAATGATCCAACGAATGTTGAAGAATGTCAGCGACCAGAAGGACGAAAAGCAGCGAAACAGAGGCGAAATAAGGATAAAAGACAATTTGAAAGTCAGAATGATTTCATTAACAAATTCGATCATGCAACAACCCTTTATCAAAGACAATCTGAAACTCTTCAGGCCGCTCAAATAGCACGAGAGGCACGCAAAGCAAATAAAGAAAAAACCAAACAACTCGAGTTTTAAAGCAAACTAAGAGAGATTGAAAACAAACAAAAGGCTGAAGATATGTTAATCATGAAAAAAGATCCAGAATTGATGCCAACACAAACTGGGAAAGCATGGCTAATTGAACGCCAAAATGAAATATTGGCATTTATACGCGCACGTGGCAACTCAAGCTTTCCATAGGATTATTTCAAGCATTCCATATGATTGTTCTATTTTTCTAGTTGTTTTATGTTTTTAATTCAAATCGTATTATATTGTTTTTTATTTTTATTGTATTGTTTAAATTTATGTTGTATTGTATTGTTTTTAATAATAAATATTGTATTGTTAATTTTTTTTTTTTTTTTTATGACATATCGGTTTTAAAAATATAACCATTAAAGTTAAAAAATAAAATTTATTAAAAATTTTAAAAATAATAAAATATTAATATTTTTTGAAAGTAAAAATGCACCATTAGAATAGCTAAATTTTAGAAATTGTAAAACGCCGGCGTAATTATGAAAAATGCTCGACAGAAAATACTGATAAGGCAAATTCACAAAGTCTGAATTCGGAGGTCTATTGGAGATGCCCTAACGAAATCCATTTCAAAGTCCGTCCAATTGGGTGAGCCAGCTTCTCACACACAGTCACACATACAAAGAAAAGGTCCGCCAATGTCGTCTTCGAGACCTCTCACCACCGCGTCAAGACTGTTTTCCATGTCCCTCCGCCGCCTCCAGCACCACCATCGCTTCAAACCTTTTTCTCCCTCGGCCGCTCACTCGTTCAGTACCGGCCCCACTCCATATACCAAACTCCCCTTCGATCCGCGTCTATATACCAAAAACCCCTTCGGTACTCATCTTTTTCTCATTTCTCACTCATGTTTAGACAGTACTGTCTTTACAATCTATATCTATATCTAAATATGATTGGGTGGTGTGTTAATTGTTATATATAGGAGTGGCTGAACAAAATGGTGCGCCGAGAACGGCTTATGATAAGACAATAGTGAATGACAGCTTCTATGTTGTCAGATGGGACCTGCCTGGTATAGCCTCGGAGGATCTGAAAATTTGGGTGAACGAGAAGAAAGAATTAGTGTTGGAGGGAAAGATCAAGGGCGAGCCCAAGTATGAGTATAGTGGAGGCGACTACAGTTGCTCCATTCCAAGCTTTCCAGAGCTCTTCCATGTGGAGCAGTTCACGGCTGAGTTGAAACATGGGGTCGTCTGGATTATTCTTCCACTCACCGAAATGGCCAAGAAGGCCATGAAGTATGAACCCGAAGTCTTCGGGAAAAGTGAGCTTTGATACATCCCTCTTTGATATATATATTAGGGGTTTTGGGTTTATAATTCTATCAATTAATCCTTTGATTTAATTGGTTCCTTTTTCGGAATTTCTGTCTGTTTATCCATCAATTAATGTGTTTGCTTTTTTGGATATATACGTGTGTGTGTGTTGAATGTATGAATGTTTTTAGTGAGTGATTCAACCCTTTTTCTCAGTCTAAGTTGATCTTGCACTGACAAGGTTAATTTCTGGTTTAATTTTGATGTGCTCTATCTTGATTTGATATTTAATTACTTTTGCTTTCATTTTGTTGCAACTGTGTTATTGTATATACATTCAGACATCCATATTTCATATTTAATTACTTGTGTTTTATTTTTTGATTTTCTTTTCCCATCTGTTAAAAGGGATATATTTATGTTGAATGGATGAATGTTTTTAGTGAGTGATTCAGGCCTTCTTCTCAGTCTAAACTGATCTTGCAATGAAAAGGTCAATTTGTGGTTATTTTGATGTGCTCTATATTGATTTCATATTTAATTTCTTTTGCTTTTATTTTGTTGTAACTGTGCTATTGCATATACATTCAGACATACATATTTCATATTTAAGTACTTTTGGTTTAATTTTGTTCCAATTTTGCTATTGTATATACATTCAGACATGCATATTTCATATTTAATTACTTCTGTTCTATTTTGTGTGCGCTAAATTGCTAATGTATATATTTGGATCAAATGTAGATACTATATTTACCTGTTTATTACAAGGATATATGTTATCAATTTTAGGAGAAATTTTGTTTTGATTTTGTGTTCTGTCTGTTAAAAGAATAAGTTACATTATTATTATTTGGATTAAATTTTTACCCATTAATTGTTGCTGCTTATTGAACATATCAGAAATTTAAATTTTAACTGATTAATTGTGTGTGTTATTGTATATTTCTTCCTTTGTGCCTTTCGACCAAAAAAACAAGTATATATCTTCCTACGTTCTTTACATATTCAGCCAGTATTTTGCTCAAATCCAACTTGAAGCTAAGTTGGATTTCTGTCAGGGTCCATATTCTTGAAGTTCCACTGCAATTGCTATTAGTAGGTTGTGTATGAACTTTTAGTAGCTTATGTTAATCTGCATAAAATAGAACTTCTGGTTTAATTTCAGGGACGAGCTCTGATTTCAATTCTTGATGGAGGAGAAGGCTACTGCAATTCAACAAAGTAACAGGCTTCGTTAGGAACTGGTGAGGGATTCACATATGACTTCATTCTATACTATTTTATATTCTTCTTTATTATTTTTCTTATAATTACATCTTGCATTCATGAGTTTTTAAGCTGGAATACTTCTAATGTCCTTTCAACATGGTATCTTTGTCTTCCTTGCCTCATGTCCAAGTTATCTTTTTCAGTGTTTTGATCATCATGTATATCTTTATATGAATATATATCTATATCTATGTGTGTGTGTGTGTATATGTATGTGTGTGTGTGTATCTATGTTTTTTTTGGTGTCAGTGATTTAGCAAAAGGGCATAAGGCTAGAAATACATAAGTTACATTCTATAAAGAATCATTGTATGGGATAAAGCAATGTTTTGGAATACCATTAGAGGACCAAACAGCTCTATAATAGTCCCAAAGCCTATGGTGATTTCTGAAGCTATCATAAGCATTTTTATGGTTTATTAGACGGAGCCCAAACCAAGCTATCCACTCCTGATCCAAGAGGTGCAAGAGTTTGAGATATCAAATTGCCTATTTCCACAACATCTGTTCTTTAATTGTTCTTTTTCCCATAAAGTTCGAATTCAGTGGCTGAGGCAATTTCTCTCAACTGACATGGCATGATGAATTTGAATGATATTATTGCTTGGACTTCTGCCAACTGTCAGGTTAAGAAGAATTGGTCCCATCAGCTGCACAAAATTTCCCTTGCTTCTTGTGTCTACATGATCTGGGATAAGAGAAATAATAGGAGATTCTCCAATGCCTTCTCAAATGAATGCTCTGTGGCTCTTCAGGTTTATAATTCCCTTAGACTTAGGATGCTCTCTCTCCCCATCTCTAAGTTTAATAGGAATTCTGTCAAATTTTTACCTTATTGGAGTGGATGATGCTGATTAGCTCATTGTTAGTTGGTTTTAGTAGTTGTCTTTTGTTGCCTTGGTTTGCTGTCTTGTTTTCAGCTCTGTTTTGTTGTAATTTCTTCTGGGCTCCATCTGTTTCCAGGGGATGTCCTCCTCTGTTTTGCTTCTGTGTTCTGCTAGAATAAATTGATTATTTATCCAAAAAAAAAAAAAAAAAGAATCATTGTATGGGTAATTGAACAAAATGTTGATGGGTGATATCTAGAGCTAATTAACAATAAGTAAAACAACTGGTGTAATTCATAAGAGCTTTGCGCTAATTGCTGTGCCAATTTAATGACTTTATCCCTTGGGTGTTTTTGACAATGAGAATAAGCTTACATGGGATCTTGATCATTAAGTAAACTGAATGTATATTTATTTGTCTTTGGACAATGCTGAATATAACAACTGTTATCCTAGCCATGTTCAATATAAATTATGTTACATGGGTATGATTCTTGCAAATGCAATTATGTATTAAAAAAAAAAAAAAAAAATGTTGTCATAATGTTGTATAAAATTAAACTGTTGATGCAAGAGCATTTCAGAGCAAAAAATGCATTGTTCTGTTACAAACATTTTCAAATGGAATATATTTCAAAATGTTGCACATGGTCTATTGGTAAAATCATGGATTTTCAAGGATTACTTTTTGACTTAAAACTTCTTAAGGCCACCTAGTGTAGCAAAGAAGATAACAAATAAAAGAATCCATTTTAAAGTTTGCAAGATCTAAGAGCAAATTCAGTCTGTTCAAATAATCTCTTATGAAGAGTTGGCTGTGTAGTTACTTTTCTTTATCACCTGTACTAAAAGAACTTGCACTCACTTATGGTTTTAGGTTTTTGTGCTAAAGTGAATACCAAATCTGGTCGGCAGTCATATGACATTCATTCAAGTTGATAACTTGATATGATTTGAGGGGGTTGATGTTACTCTTTTTTCATTTTTTGTATATTTTAATTTTGCAAGTGATAAAAGTTGACCCAATATCACGTAATTATTTTCATTCTATTTGTATAGATTAAGAATAAAGAATGAACATTGTGTTCCAAGGTTATTCAGTGGAATGTGCTTTCCAAGTTGGGATAGTTTTCTAATACATATCTCTTTGACATTGTCTGAGCACCAGTTATGTTGTCTATATCTTTAAAATTCACTTAAAGTTACCTCCTCCACAGTGTATGTTTCTTCTTTTGAAATTAGTTCATTTCTTATTAGAAAATGGTCTTAAGATTTGTGGGTATGAGTTTCCAAACCATGTTGATAATTTCGGATGTTTGACCTCTTTCCTTGAATTTCCCTCAGTTTCGGATTGGTAATGAAGAAAAAAAGAAGAGGAAAACAAGGTTTAAGGATAGGATAAAATGATTCTTGCTTCAAAGCTTTGTTTTGGGTATATAATTTAATTGTTTGTTATACATTACTGTTTCCTTTGAACCATGATTTGAGGGGGTTGACGTTCTTCTGGATTCCTTCTCTATTTTTTTTTTTTTCTTTAATTTAATTTTGGTAGTGATAGAAGTTGACCCGATATCAAGTAATTATTTTCTTTGTATTGGTAGAGAATAAGAATAAAGAATGAACGTTGTGTACCAAGGTTACTCAGTGGAATGTGCTCTTCAAGTTAGGATATATTTCTAATAACTCTTTGACATTGTTTGAGCATTGGTTATGTTGTCTATATCTTTAAAATTCACTTTATGCTACCTCCCCCATAGTGTATGTTTCTTCCTTTTAAATCAGTTCATTTCCTATTAGAAAATGGTCTTAGATTTGTTGGTATTAGTTTACAAACAAGGTACATATTTTCAGATGTTTGACCTCTTTCCTTGTATTTCACTGAGTTTTTCGGATTGGTAAAGAAGAAAAAGGGGAAAACAAGGTTTAAGGATAAGGATAAAATGTTATTCTTGCTTCAAAACTGTGCTGTTGATATGATAATTTAATTGTTTGTTATATATTACTGTTGCCTTTGAACCATGGAAGTGGCTCATCTCTTTGAGATTACAATGTGTAGGAACCCTTGAGGCGTGACAGCAACAAAAGTTCTGGATGAAGATGCTGTGGGACTTCATGAGAATTATTGTTGAAGGACATTGAAAACGTCATGTCTAATAGTCTATTCCTATTTTAAACAGGTAGTATTGTGATTTTCTAAGTCATGTCGGATATTAATGGGATTTTCTTCCGGTGTAAGTTCATGAAATGTAATTTAATCTTATGGTACAGAATGGGGAACTTCATGTGTGTTTCTTTTTGAACTTTGAGAGGTTTATATGACCACACTCCACAAGTTCCAATTTTAGCAGACAAGTATTATGGACTTCTTCTGCTCCTTTAGCTTAAAACACTATGAACAGATTCAGGAACTTCAGCTTTTGTGTGTGTGTGTGTGTGTGTGTGTGTTTTATATATAAATGGCAGTCGCTGAATGCCCGATGTCAACAGTTCGATGAGATGAATGACTGTCATTGTGTAGGGAATGGGTAAGATAAGCCTTTCACCTCTTCCAGTGGTGGTGTTCAAAGAATTCTACCTTGTTACCATTGTTGAAGAGAGGTTATACCACATTGGCCTAGTTTATGTTAGTGCTCTTCACTCTATTTGAATATATTGTTTGCTAGAGTTTTCTCACGAGTATGTCTGGCACAATCTGCTGCCGTTGGATGGTTATTCAGGATTTGTTGATTTCGTGATTGTGAAACAAATCCTTATGAAATGTTTGTACACTACTAGAATTAAATTTTGAGACACTATTAATTTATTTTTCTAAATATTGTTTAAACCAAGTTTCTGTAAATATTGCAGGGTTACTGTGTTGTTGATTTATAATTTATATTCTTTATTTTTATTTTTATTATTCAACAAATGCAGAGTTAAAAGGAAAATTCAGCATGGTAAAAATAATTGATATGTATGCAGATCGATGTTCCATAATATATTTTTGTGTTTAATTATAAAAATGATCAATTATATGTAAAGGATGTATACTTGTGGCTAACAGGTTTAGATAAATTTTGATTTCATGAGCAATATGTTCATTTAACTAAACAAATTTTTTTTTTTAAATGATGGTTTATCAATGTAATTATTATTTTTTTCTTGTTATATATATTAAAAATAAAATTGATTTAAAAGCTTAGTCCGCTAGGAAGCACAAACACTTTTAAGAAGGAGTCTTACTCGAATCGTACCAGTATCGGACACCGGCGCTCCTTGGATACATGTTCGACACTTCATATACGTGTCCAAAAACACTTTATACACACTTCACCAATACTTCTTAGGCATTTTTAACGCAAATCTACCCAATAATTTTAAAAATAATATGAATAATATCGTGACAAAGTAATAAAATAATGATACACGTAGTATATGATATAAAAATTATTATAACAATGACATAATTTTATTTTTTTAATTCATTTCAGAGCAACTCTTAATATAGAAATTAATAATAAATTAAAATTTTATAATACTATTACTGAATAGATGTATCATAATAAAAATTCATATATTGTGTAATCATGTTCAGGTCGTACCGATATCGTACCTTCTAAAAATTTTATAATACTATTACTGAATAGATGTATCATAATAAAAATTCATATATTGTGTAATCATGTTCAGGTCGTACCGATATCGTACCTTCTAAAAATTTGACGTATTCATGTCCCTGCAACATAGCTTGCCCGATAGCCAATAGAGGTATAATGTTGTAACCTAAAATGATAGTATCATGAGATGAAATTACTTTGTGGTTCAATAATTTTGTTGTGTTAAGGTCTTAATTGATTTCATACTCGTGCTTTGATTTTATCAATTTTATTCACTTGGTATAAGGTCGCATATACAGTACCACGTAGATTGGTGGACAAGAAATTGCATTGAAAATTGAATTTATTTAAAACTTTCAAAATTTTGGTCAAATTATTGAAATGTTATTGAATACACGTGCGATGCATCAAATATTTTCTCTAACCCACTAGCAACAAACATTCTCTAACCGTCAAGTGACACGTGTCCATCCTCTTCTCTCCATCCCACTCACCTCTGTAGAAACCTCCTTTTACTCGTCTGTCTCCATCACCTCCTTCACTAACAATCTCTCACATACACAGTGAATATTCAGAAGCCATATCAATGGCCTGTTCACGAGCTCTCACCGCCGCCACTGGTCTCATGAAACTCCTCCGCCCAAGCCTCTCACCTCCGATGGCCAGTCCCTTCCCTACTCGTTCACTTCAGTGCGTCGCTCTTCCGACAAGCGCCGGTTCGGAAGGCAACTCCGATCGCAGCACCGTCATTGATCTCACGAAGCTCCTCCGCTCACAGATCTCTCCTCAGATGGAAGTCGCTCCCTTCGCCGCTCGTTCATTTCACACCGTCGCTCTTCCCACAAGCGTTTCCGAAGCAAAATCAGACTCTCTCACCACCGCCATTGGTCTCCCGAAGCTCCTCCACTCACAACTCTCACCTCAGACGGTCACTCCCTTCGCTTCTCGTTCACTTTGCACAGTTGCTGCTGTTTCCAAAAGCGGCGATTCGGAATCCGACGCCGACCTCAGCTCCAAACAGCCCTCTATTGGCCTCAAAGGTCAGCATATATATATATATATATAAATATTCTCATATCATTTCTCTTCGAATAAGTATGATCTGTGCTGAATTAGTACGGTTTCCTTTACAATCTATATCTATATACATACACATATATATAATGTGATTGAGTAGTGTGTTGTTATATGTATATGTATAGGTGTGGTTGATCTTGTGCAGACACTGGTGAATGATAGCTACATCTGCGTGAAGATTGATGTGCCAGGTCTGAAGTCAAAGGATCTGAAAATTTGGGTGAACGAGAAGAGAGTAATTATCTTTATGGGAAGGTCAAAATGCCCACCCAAGTATTGGTGTAGGGGATGGTTTTACGGAGGCACCATTAGAGACTGTCCATTGGACTGCAAGGTGGAGAACTTCAAGGCCGAGGTGAAGAATGGTGTCCTCTGGGTTACTGTGCCACTCGCCGACGACGCCAAGAAGACACACTTTCGATTGTTGGATCAGAAAGGGGATGAAGTTTGATCCATCTTTGACCGATTTGGGGGTTTAGGGTTTTAATTTCGATCTCTATATTCTTCTTTTATGTTTTTGTTTTAGGATATATGTTGAATGTATGAATCTCTTTTTTGGGGGATGAATCTCCTTTTTTGTGGAAAATTAATTATATATGTTGTGGTAGCTAGCTCTTGATTTCATACTCAACTTTTGCTGCAGCTGTGTCACGCATTAATTATTTAGCTTGGTTAATGAAGCAATCATAAATTCAACAATTAACTAGCGACTATGTAATTATGATACAGTACCATTTTGTATCTCTCTCACACACACACACACACACATGTCTGCACCTTAGAATTGTCAAGTTGAAAAAGTGGTTTCAACCTGCAAAAAGAATAGCCAGGGCAGAGGTCTATGGAGCCGTTTTTGTGGGAGACAAATCTCTGATACTCTGTGTGGATGTGAAATCATTTTGGCTCTTTCCTTTTCCTATGATACAAAATGGTCCCAAAGGTTTTGCTTTTTGATACAAAAATGTGCAGATAGGCTTTAGTACAATGTTATTGAAAATCAAATTTATTTGAATTGTTTAAAGTTTTAATCAAATTATTTTTAATTATTATTATTATTATCTTGACCCACTTCTCATATAGGGAGGCTTGATTTTTAAACCTCCCATTTGAAAGATAAAAGAAATAACACTTGAAAAAAAAATTATTGTTATTTTTCTAAAGAAGTAAACCGTCTTTGGATTTGAAAATAACAAAGATAATTGTGATACAAGATAACATTTTGATTTTGTTTTTATAATTGTGATATATAATATCACTATATAAAATAAAAAATTAAAAAAATCATCAAAGCTGACGTGATATGTTGTTATTGGAACACATTAAGGGTGAGTAAGATGAAGCTACCGGTGAGTAGCTAAACATTATCCAAAACTTAATACATCAATGTGTTATTTTCAAATAAAATGTATTTCATTAAAATCTTAACATAATCTTGATAATTTTAGCTGAGTGGATTTACCACCATCTAACTTTATATTCCCTTGTCAATTGGAAATCATCATTTCCACGCACTATGATCAATTAAGAAAAAACAATCCAATGGCTATGAGATCAAGTTGAATACTCATGCGACACATCATGTATTTTCCTCTAACCGTCACGTGACAGGTGTCCATCCTTTGCTCTCCATCCCACTCACCTCTGTAGAAAACCCTTTACTCGTCTGTCTCTGTCACCTCCTTCACTCACAACCTCTCACACACAGTCACACAGTGAATATTCAGAAACCATATCAATGGCCTCTTCACGAGCTCTCACCACCGCCACTGGTCTCATGAAACTCCACCGCCCTCACCTCAGATTGCCAGTCCCTTCCCTACTCGTACACAAAAGTAGACAGCATTGAAAGAAAATATGGCTTACGTTATGTATTCAATTGAGGATAATCATGTCATTTCTTATCAAACATAGACAGCATTGAAAGAAAATATGGCTTACGTTAGCAACTCCAGTCAACAACCACCCACAGCACCCTCTGGGTATTATTTTCTTGATTGCCAAACACACAACAAACACACAAACACAAATCTAAAAGTACTACTTCATTCATCCACGGTAGGAATACAATTCATTGGCACATCCAGCAAGATTTCCCAATAGAGCAGTGATAAGCTTCACAAAAATCACCATATCCAAAGATTCCAAAGAAACACGATTAACAAAAGCAAACTAAATAAGAAAAAAGGACACCCAAAAAAAAGCGATTGACAAACTACTAATTCAATCGACATTGACGAGGAAAACATCGCTCCTGTTTTGGAGCTTGAGCTTGGGGACGACCAGCTTCAGAACGCCATTTTTGAGCTCGGCTTTGATCTGATCCACCGCGTAACTTCCCTCAGCAAGATCCACAGAACCCAAGTAACTCCTCGGGCCACCATCAAAGTTATCGTCCTCTTCATCATTACCAAATTCTGCTTCATCACCGTTTGTTTCTTCATCTCCTTTGAAATACAGACGATGGTTTTCAACCCACACCTTCAGATCTTCTTTCGAGAGACCTGGCAAATCAACCTTTGCCAGATACGAGTCCTCTCTCTCTTTCGCAACAAAAGGGAAGATCCTTCCTCTTGCTAGGAATGGATTCTTCAACGTACAATCTGTACTCATACAACAAATTCAAAATTTTATACACACAATATATATATATATGTATATGTTGGAAGTCATTTGAGGGTATTTTTGTTGTTACCTTTTGGGATGGGAGCTTCGGAATCGTCAGAGTCCGAGTCCGAATCTGTGGTCATCAATGGAGAAGGGAAACCAGCGAACAGAGTCGTTGGGAAGCGGTTGGAGGGGAAGGATTTCATCATGAGTCCACAGGCGCCGGTGGTGACAAGTACTGAAGAAGACGCCATTGATGGAGCTTTTCTAGGGTTTCTGGGTATTCACTGTGTGACTGTGTGTGAGTGAGAGAGAGATTGCGAGTGACTGAAGGTTATTGAGACTGAGTACAGACTGGTCACTATATAGGGGATTGGATATGAAATAGTGTCTGTAGTTGTGACGTCAGCATTACTTTTTGCTAACAGCTGGACGCTTTTCCTTTTTTTTTTTACTTTACTTTTCCTATTTGATGAATTTGTGAAAATGCTGCTGTGAATTGAAAAAAAATGGTGTTGTATCAAAACTTAGCTAGTATTTTTATGGAATAATTTTTTTTTTTTTTTTTGAAAATTATATAAAGGGTTTGAATTTAAAGAATAATGGATGAATTTTTCAACATTCATATACAAGTTCTTCTTTATTGTTTGGCTTATTTATGATTTGCTCCAATTTTAAGCCTGAAGTTAAAATTATTTCAAAGAGTTTCAAGTTTGTTTTTTTTGTGTTTTTTCTTTTTCTTTTTTTTGTGTGGTAAAGAATTATTTTTCACTTTGAATAACAACTTAATGTAAATGAAAATTTCTATTAAGACATCTTGCCGCAAATGTCAAATACCTACACTTCATAGATAGGATTAGTAAGCAAGTTTCCAACAGAAGAAGTGATTGGTCATTTACACAAGAATATTAATTTATTTTGATACTTTTCACTCTAATTTGATCTGAGGAAGAAAAGAAAAAATATAATTTCATATCTTTTACCTCCATCTAGAATAATGTATTTACTTTAATGAATTAATGATCGCATTATTCAGTGGTCTTAATTCATAAAGTGTCAAACTTTCCAAATAAATATTTCTGCATTCAAGTCTCCTCCACTTAATTTAACAGTAAAAAATTTTGTTAGAGCACCATTTTTGTAGAGTATTAATTATATACGTGTATATATATATATAAACACAATTATATACTTTTATAAAATGGAATTAGTGTGAAACAAATTATTATAACTTGTCACAGTTCATTAACATGTGTCTAGGAAAAGGGTAATTAAGGCCAAAATGGTATTTCTTCCGAGGGAGGATCAGAGATTTGTTTTCCACAAAAAGAAATGGTATCTCCACTACACAGACCTGATCGCTCTCTTTCCTGGCTCAAGGTAATTAAGGTGAGTTGATTGAATTTACACTTCGAAGTTGACAATTCTAACGGATATATACACACACACACACACACACTTACTTATATGTATACATACTACTGTCCATATTCCAACTTTCTGATTGGTTAATGGTTATGCATCTTTATAAAAATAAAAAATAAATAAATAATTGTTTTGGTATTATTATCAATACAACGTATGATGGACCTCACAAATGAAGAGAGGATAACAGGGATGGTTGTTTGATTTTTTTTTTTTTTTTTTTTTTTTTGTGTCGAAAGGTGAAGCTAAGAAATATAATTAGAGTACAGTGAAAGGCCTTCGGCCCAAACCAACCCAAACATACTGGGAGAAACAGCGAGAAGCCCGAACAATCAAATAACAACATGCTTGGGCCCAAGGCCCAGCTCCTAATTCAAACAAAAAGCCGAAAATAACGGTCTTGATGCCGTTAGTGGTAGATTTCTGATGCAATTCCGGTGGCAAAGCCGATGACGACGATCAAAGCCCTAGGCTCAGAACCCGTAGTCTGACGGCCGCGACGGAGGACAACAACAAGAGGGAGGAAGATTCCAGTCCTTGAGGATGTTGTGTGCAGCAACAGAGCTTCGAAGAACTCCTAATATGAGGATTGAGGTGCTACTATTACAAACCCTGGATAGGATTGCATTTTGGGATAACTTGATTCCATGAAAGATACGAGCATTTCGTTCTTCCCAAATGTGATACGCCAAGATAGTGAAGCAAAGCTTTCTTATAAAGTTCATTAGATATAATGGGGACCATTGATCACTGAATTTAGAGATTAACTCCGGCCAAGTGAGATATGCAATGGAGAGTCTGCATTTAGCTTTGAAGAACCTCCAAATAGGAACAGTGAAGGAGCAAGAGAAAAAATATATGTGTATGTGATTTAGGGCTAGCATTGGATAGGGCATACATATTCTGATGCCGAGCCATGGATCTTGTGTCAAGTGTTGGCAATCTAACTTTACATGTCTGTTCACTGCATGTAAAGTTTTTATTGTATAATATAAAATTTTTACTAAATAATGTAAAATTTGTACTTAAACAAAGTAAAACTGTTATTTAACTAGTGTAAAATTTTTATTGAATAATTTAAAATATACAGCAAACAACTATCAAAATGTGTCTATATTCGCCGCATGAGAAGGTTATTGTAAGCTCTTTGTAAATTTACCGATTTGGTCTTTGTCGCCAACATGAAGCAATCTTAGTAATAGTTTTAAGATTCGCCGCTGCCGCGAAAGTAAAGATATGAGATGGAAAAAGATGTAAGGTTATTTAGTAAGTTTGAGAATGCAGGGTAAAGATAATTTGGTCTCCATGTATTTATGAATAGCAAAAAGTGACATATTTGTAATACTCTTGCCTATAATGTATTTTGGTTGAATTATTTTTTAGTGTTTACATTTTAGTAATTATAAGGCTTTCTAAGATATTTTTTTTTATTAAATTAACTCATTTATTAAAACCCATCAATCCCTAAATGATGTTTTAAATCAGATTGAAAATTAGCAAAACCCCGAACATATATAAATGGATGTAGGGTCAAATTGGATCTCAAAAACACTTTCTCGAACTGTGTGTTCTGTCCTCTCTTCAGATTTGAGGTCCAATATTGTACTGATTAAAAATGCCAAAACCAAATACTATACATAAAATTTGATTTTTAACATAAAGATGGATGGAATTAATTGGTACAGAACATATCTCTCTTAGAATTGACTACTTCTTTTGCTCGTCAACCAAGAAACCTTGTTTCATCTTTCAAGCCACCTTAATTACCTGCAAAAAAGATGAACCAGAACAGAGCCACCCTTCAGGTCTCTGACTCTGTGCAGTGTGAGATTCCATCCCTTTTCGTGAGTGACAAATCTCTGATCCTCCCTGCTCCCTACCCAGGTTATTCAATTATGTTTTTTTTATTCTTATACACATTTCAATATACATATATATATATACACACACACACACACACAATGATACAATGTGTATAGTGTATGGTAAATTGGTAAGTTAGGTTGTGATCTAACCTAAATTTTAGAACCAGAACCGAACCATATCATTATACAATTCGTTTCGGTTGACCGGCAACAAACGCCTTGTTTTTAAGATACAAAGTGATAGTGAGTTATGCCGGGAACTTATTTAAATTTGGAAGTTGATATTTGCACTTCATATTTGAGACCTCATGAACTACAATTTTTAAACTTAACAATTAAAATGACAATTTTGCCCTTCCTCGTGTTTGTTCATTGATTCGTGGTTTCTGTTCTGGTTCTTGCAGCTTTGAAAATTGTTGATGCTCTTCGAAAATTGATCTTTGTAATTGATGAAACTTTGACTTAGGACTTGACTTGTTATGATGGTAATGGATTGAAAATTTGGTATCTATTTTGAATTCCAAGGACCTTACAAGTTAATTGTGGAGCTCTATTTTGTAATTCAAGCACCTAGCACATTTTGCCCTTTTTAAGTCGCATGCACATGAATCCATATAATAATGCTTCGATTTGATACAAATGATGTAGGGTTTTAGGCTCACACATTTGCATGAATTAATCAGAGCCAAAACTAGTTCAATAAATTTGCTAAAATTAATGTAGGATGTGTTCAAACTATATATCTACACGTGTAAATTTGTGTGTATATATTATATGAGAAACGGTTTGACCTTAAGTCACATAAGTAAAAGTAAAAACAAGAACAACTTAAGTCACGTGAGCAAAAGCAAGAGCAATGACGAGAACGAGAACGTAAAAAAGACAAAATGTAAGTCACACATTGTGAAAAATTCAAAATAAATAAATAAATAAATAACAAAAAACTGTCATGAGTGACACCAACACTAATTTAGAGAATTGTGTGACTTAATGTGTTGTCACAAAATACATATCAGGACAAAATGTAAGTCACACATGGTGAAAAATTAAAATAAAATAAAAAATAACAAAAAACCGTCATGAGTGAAACCAAAACTTATTTAGAAAATTGAATGACTTAATGTGTTGTCACAAAATACACATCAAGACAAAATGTAAGTCACACATTGTGAAATTTTTTTTAAAAAATATAACAAAAAATCGTCATGAGTGAAACCAACACTTATTTAGAGAATTGTGTGACTTAGGGTTTGTTTAGTAACACTTTTACTTTCTAATTTTTACTGTCAATTCCTAAAATTAAGAAGTAAAAGTGAAAATTATGTTTAGTAATATAATTTTACTTTTCACCTTTTAGAAAGTACTTTCAGATTTAATGAAGGAAAGAGAAAGTGAGGATTTGTTACTTTCTCTACTTTCTACACTGTTTACAAGAAGTATTTTCTCTACTGTAACATTATTTATCAAAAAAAAAAAAAAAAAACTCAAAAATTATTTTCACCGCCGGCCACCGTCACCTCCACCCACCTCCCCCCCACCATAGCCACCGCTACAACCATCTCTCTCCTCTCTCCTACCCATCAATAATATACCCAAATCAACTTGAACTAGTTACATAAAGACGAAACGGAGAAGGCGAAGTCGACTCTCCATCATCAGCGACAAGCTGTGTTTTCACATCCTTTCCCGACGAATTGGGGTATAGTCTTAATTGAAGCACACTCCTGAGGAAATTATACTTGGGTACAATCTGATTCTCTAAGCTTATTGCCAAGAGGTTTGGGGTTGCACAAATAAATTTTGCGAGGTCAGATCTTGAAACCCCAATAGACTGAAAAAACTCAAGTTTAGGCAAAAGGGTTTTATCAGGATTGGCTAAAAGTAGCAGTGAATTTTTCCTCAAAAAATGGAAAGACCAAGCAAATGACTACATACTACTGAAATTGGTGGTCGAAAAGGGGATGATTGAGAATCTGGGTTCCCTAGACCTACTTGAAATTGAGGATGAAGAAGAAGGTGATTAACAATTTGGACAACAACCAGATCGAAGCATCTCCTTGTAGACCTCTGCGGCCTCCTTCGCTCTGTTCTGATCAAATAAAACCTTCATATACGCAGTATAAGAAACAACTGTGGGATGACATCCCTTGGCTTTCATCTCCTTCCAAACCTTTGCTGCCCCACCAAAATCCCCATCATTGGAAAGCCAATGCAGAAGGGAAGTGTAAGTAACAGCATCAATCTTGATCCCTTTCTCTTGCATCTGCTGAAAAACATAGTTCCTTGACGAAATCCTTCTAGCTTCTCCAAAAATATCCAGCATGGTTGTATAAGTAAACTGGTCGTGCTTAAAACCTTTCAACCCAATTGAAAAAACAACCAGGCCTTTTCCATTGGAGGATGGGTTTTGAGAACTTGATTCTCTGATTTCTCTATTCTTTCTGGTGGGTTCAATTCCGGCAAGTTAGAAATCAAAATTATAATTACTGAACTTGCTTTTTAATTTCTTATTTTGAAAATATTGAAAACATGAAAAGTTAATGAACATGATTCTACTTGCTATTTTATTTCTAATAGAAATGAAAATCATGATTTTACTTTTTAAAAAAGCAAAAGAAAAAAAAAAAAGTGTTAGTAAAAAGACCCTTAATGTGTTGTCACAAAATACACATCCCTAACATTAATAAGAAAATCCTAACGCCTGGTTAATTCCAATTTAATGAAATTTTGGTTTTATTTAACCGAGAGAGGGATTGATGCAGAGTCATCAAAATGTAAAGTGTTATGTTCCATTTCATTTTATTTGTTGGAACATTTGTGCATTGGGGTAACATTTACATCATAAAAAGAACCTACTTCAATTAGTTACAATTAGGAAGTATATACTTAGATTATAACACTACAACACAAACAATTAATACAATGATACCCCCCATATACATAATCGGTAAAAATGTAACTTAATAATTTGTTCATTAAGCATCAACAAACACAGATGGTAAAAGAAAAAATATAATAATAATATCAAATCAAGAGCACAATAAAATTTAACCATAAATGAACTGTCTGATTGCAAGATCAGTTCAGGCTCAGAAAAATTTAACCATCCATTCACGACACACACACACACACACACACACACGAGACACATAAACTGATGGATCTAAAAGATAGAAACGGAAAAGAATCCGAAAAACACAAGCCATGTAATATGCTACATATGTCAAAGCATCAACGGTCTTCTTCACTACACATCACAACTAATTTTAGTGCAAGGATCATAACGGAGTATAACATAAGTATAAATCACATAAAATAACTTCAAAAATATTGGCCACCTGGGAGAAAATCAAAACATTAAACAGACGAGGCCATGTTCAGCAAAAAAATTGTGATTACTTGTGCTTGTTGCCTTGCTTCAAAACCTAATGCTTTATCTTGCCTTGTTATTGGGGTCGCGTATAAAAAGCTCAACGAGATTTGTAGGCATGGTGTCCGAGGAAAACTGCCAAAAAAATGACTAATTACAAATCATATGATACAAAAAATATACACACCAAATTGATTCGATTCAATTCGATTCGATTCAATTCTGTATCCTTCACTACTTGGGCGGTTATGCCTCTGTCCTTACCCCTCTGGCATCCTCTGTCTTTACCTTCCTGCCATAGTCTCTCTGATGGGGCCCACCACCTTGTGCCTAAAACAAAGAAGTTTGTGAATGAACATCAACTGAACATAAAAATTATAACTGTGCTATCAGATTTTCAGAAATAAAAAACGCATATTACATCAATAAAAAAACCATACTTATATATATATATATACCAAAAAAAAAAAGGCACAAAAATCTAGAGAGAGTTTAGCAAAAACAGATATTGTTAGCAAAAAGGTATGAATTTTAGCTTTGTAAGATAAAAAGGTGTATCTAAAGCGAATAGCCCAAAAGAACCCTAGAGAAAATGAACATATACACGTAGTACGTATAAGGTATAAAACTTCCAAAGAGAGAGAGAGGAAGCCGTTGCAATGTGTGTCTCAGAAAGATTAAACAACAAAAATCTTACCTATACATTTGAGCATGACAGCGAGCTATGAGTGATTGAGCAATGGAAGAGCGACTGAGCAATGAGTGATTGTGCCCTTCAAGAAAGAGGGAGAGCGATGAGAGCTTATGCCCTTTGGACGATTGACAAAAAAGAGTAAGGGTTCAAGTGTTCAACTGAGATTGGTAAAGTAAGAGATGTGAGACGGCGAGCTATGAGTGATTGAGCAATGGAAGAGCGACTGAACAATGAGTGATTGTGCCCGATGAGAGCTTATGCCCTTTGAACGATTGACAAAAAAGATAAGGGTTCAACCGAGATTGGTAAAGTAAGAGATGTGAGATGGAAAGAGAAGAAATAATGATAATTATAGCTTAAAACTGTTTTTTCATGAAATTATTTTTGAGGGTTTACATTATGCCATTCTGGTAATTATAGCTCTCTAAGTTGTTTTAAATTAAGAGAATTGACTGATGAAAAGGGCATGAATGAACCTTGGAGAAATTCCTTTCCCATTTTCTGTTACGTTTGTGAGTTGGATTTGCAGGTCCATGTTGGAAAAAGGGATTCTTAATTAATTGATAACAATATACATTAAATTTGATCCAAAATGTACAAAACAATAATTTACATTAACACAAACAGTTAATGGGTGAAAATGTAACTTTTCGATTTGTTGATTAAGCATAAACAATAATTAATGGTGTGAATTAAAAATTTCTCAGGAAAATAAAAATAAAAATAAAAATAATATAAAATCAAGAGTCAAATAAAGAGCACCACAAAATTTAACCTTCTGATTGCAAGATCAGTTTAAAACATTCATGCATCGACCAAAAGATAGAAATAGAAAAAGAACCAATTAAATCAAAGATTAATCGATGGAAATAAAAATAATAATAATTGAAAAAAACCCTAAATGAAAGATGGATCAAACCTCCGGTTTCACCAACAAGTCGCGTTGCCACTTTACGGCCCTCTTGGCATCTTCAGTTAGAGGAAGAGTAACCCAGACTACGCCATCATCCATCTCAAACTTGAGCTGCTCCATATCACAGAGCAATGGACACCCCGGAATGTTGCCACTGTAGAAGCCTCCATCATACCCATACTTGGCTTCCCTCCGACAGTTTGCCTCGAACACTACATCTTTCTTCTCATTAACCCACATTTTCAGATCATCTGAGCTCACACCAGGCAGGTCAAGCCTCATGAGGTAGAAGCTATCATTCACCAGTTTCTTCTCAAATGCCTTTTTCCTCATACTATCCTGATAACGTTCTCCTATATCTATATATATATATATATATATATTGTAAAGGAAACAGTAATAATTCAACACAGATCTTACAGATTCGAATAGAAATTATATGAGAATATTTATATGTGCAAACCTTTGAGGTCAATCGAGGGGTTTTTGGAGCTGAGGTCGGCGTTGGACTCCGAATCGCCGCTACTCCGAACAGAGACGGTGCAAAATGAGCGGAGGAGCTTCGTGAGATCGACGGCGGTGGTCAGATCGGAGTTGGCTCGGGAACCGCGAGCGACGCTGCGAAGTGAACGAATAGGGAAGGGACTGGTCATCTGAGGTGAGAGGTGTGGGTGGAGGAGTTTCGTGAGACCAGTAGCGGTGGTGAGAGATCGTGAAGAGGCCATTGATGTGGTTTCTGAATATTCAGTGCGTCTGAGAGATTGTAAGTGAAGGTGAGAGAGACGAGCAAAAGGGGTTTCTAAAGAGGCGCGAGTGGGGTGGAGAGAAAAGGTCGACACGTGCCAGTCACGTGAGGGTTAGAGATTTCTAGCCGTTGGATTTTTTAGTGATTGAACTTCACATCCTAGCCGTTGGATGTTTTTCGTGATTGATGAATTTGTGAAAAAGGTTATTTCAATTCAAAAAGAAATACTTTATGAAAGTACTTTGTCACACAATTTGTCAAAAGAGGCCTGTTCTCGAGCTCCTTAAGTGAATTTGCAATTTGAGAGTGAATTTGCAATTTGAGAGTGTACCCCAATTGTATGGCGTTGCTATACTACCACACACACACACATATATATATATATATATTAATTATATATGTTTGAAAATATACTACTAAAAAACTTTCCAATTAGAAAGAATAAATAATAAGAATATATTTGTATATGAATTTAAATAAATAAAATATATATGTTTTGACCTAATATAATTTTATTTAAACTTTAATATACAGACGCTTGTGCTCTCAAAAAATTTAGATTTTGACGTTTTGCTTTAGTTCCATGTGACTTAGATCACTAAGGTGAATTATCAAAATTTTGGTAGAACTTTCAAAATATATATATATATATATATATATATATATATATATATATATATTTTTCTCATCTTCGAGTCACATTATTTTGTAGATAATTAATTTAACCAATTGTAATTAGTTGAATTAAATTAACTAAATATTTAAAAATATACTAGGGAAAATTACATATAAATGAAGTCAAAATTCTATATTTACTTAAAGACTGAGTCAAAATTCCATATTTCTCCAAAATGGATTATTGAGGTGGCACATGGTTTTTTATTATTTAGAAAATTGTGGTGCCTAAAATGCCCTTCCCTAACAAAAAAGTAGTACCTTCAGTTCAAAAAAGTAATACCTCCGGAAAAAAAAGTAGTACCTTCGCGGGTGTTTAAAAAATATGATACTTGGACGCCAAAAAGTAGTACCTTCAGTTCAAAAAAGTAGTACCTTCGAAGAAAGAGTAGTACCTTCGCGGAAGGATATTTTAGGCACCACAATTTCTAAACGGTAAAAAATCATGTGCCACCTCAGCAATCCATTTTAGAGAAATATAGAATTTTGACTCAGCCTCTAAATAAATATGAAACTTTGACTCCATTTATATATAATTTTCCCAATATACTAAACCGTCCACATTACTATGTAAATATTAATTCAACCCATTGTCATTACTTGTAATAAATTGACTAAAGATTGACTGTAGATTTGAAATTTTCAAATAAGTTTAATTTTCAATATAGGTAAAGGGAAGACAAAATGGTTCGTCACATTGGATCAGACAACACTGACCTATAAGGCTGGCTCTCTCCAGGCTTTTGCAGGAAGGGGTGTGCGTACAATTTTGTCTTTGTGAATAGTTATCCATTTTTATTAAATTTTTTAATTTGGTTTTTATTATCAGTAAAATTAACCTCAAATCTGAATAAATTTGGAACTTATAATTTTTACTGCCGTCAAAGCAATTATTTAAGTAAAAATTTATATTTACTACTTTCACCTTCTGGCGTACATTGTTTTTTTCAGTCAATTGACCAAAGAGATATGAACGTGGCACGTAGCACCAACTTAGAGCGTCTTCAATTGGGCTGTTATATGGGTTGTCAATTCAAAATATAGTAGATAGGGTTAAAAACAAGCTCTCCAATGCAATGCTATACCAATTCAAAATATAGTAGATAGACTTAAAAACAGGCTCTCTAATGCAATACTATATCACCTGCTACTTTTTAACTTTGCTATTTCTTATGCCAATTGTAACACAAGAAATAACAGTAGCTATTTCACAAACAGAGAGAGAGAGAAGCTATTCAGAGATATATATATATATATATATATATATATTAAAAAAAAAAAAAGAATTACACCAAATAGGATTTAATTTAAAAACCAAGAATTACAAAACCTTCATCATAAAATTGAATTACAGAAAAAAAAAAAAAAAAAATTAAAACAAAACCCATACATACACGAGGGCTATGGTGCAATGGAGTTCAAAAATCAAATAATAAAGCAAAGAAAAAAATTTGAGATACTAAAGTAATATGTATTATATACACATAGACACATGCATGTAGAGAGATAGAGGACCTGGATGGTGTTGTTGAAACCAACATAGTACTGATCAACAGTCTTCAACCATCCAACATCATCGTGCGTGTGAGGAACCAAATGAACATTGAGTTTCCCGGGAACAATGCCTAGTTTTGATCTAGTGCCTGGCTTGCGAACGGCGAACTGGCTTGCGAACGGCGAACCCGAACTGGAGCAGGCGATGGAAACTGAAAGATATGGGTTTTGAATTTCTGATTTTTGTTGATTTTGTAGTTGGGGGGGAATGCAGGCTATTGGGGAGGCTGAAATGATTTGCTCTAAAACTATATTTGGCTATTGGGGAGGCTGAAATGATTTGCCTTAACTATATATAGGGGAAGGGGCGGAATGCAGGCTACTGGGGAGGCCGAAATGATTTGTTCTAAAACTATATTTGGCTATTGGGGAGGCTGAAATGATTTGCCTTAACTATATATATATTTTTAATAACAATATAATTATATATATATATAAATTTTCGAAAAAGAAAGAAAAATTATATAAAAAAAAAATTATATAGTAATATAATTAAATATATAAATTTATATATATATATATATATATATATCTTTTTTTTGGGTCTTTTTTTTACTAGATATTTTAGATATTTAATTCTTTTTAATTAAGTTTAATTTTAATTTCCTTTTAATGTCTACAATTTGACTTGAAATGTGTCTAATATTAACATTACTTATGTAGATATGAATGGTGAAAATGGTAATTGAAAAAGAATAGTAGTTATGTTAAAAAATAGTATTTTGCATAAAATGCATCATTGAAGCATAATTGCTAAAATATAGTATTTTGACACTGTAACATAAATTTGGCATCCGAATTTAACATTTTACCATTAGAGATGGTCTTGGCACTAATGGGACTATTGACAGGAGCATTTCTACAAACAAGTGTTGTGCAATATGAATGAACAAAATCAAGGGCTCCATAAACTAATTAAAATAAGACCCCAAAACGAAATTAATACTAGTATTTAACAAGGCCTTTCTTCATCGAATCGAGTTGAACCTTTCTGACGGCCTTGGGTTTTTCGCTGAGTGGAAGAGTAAGCCAGAGGGATCCATGAGTCAACTCGGCCTCGAACTCATCCACCTTGCACATCTTGCTCATCATTGGGCGGAGTGGAATGACGCCATGGTAGGAGCCTCCCTCATACTCATACTTGGGCTCGCTCTTGATCTTCCCCTCGAACCCAATATTTCTGTTCTCGTCCACCCACAGTTTCAGACCCTCTGAGATCATACCCGGTAGGTCAACCCTGACCTTCACGACGCTGTCACCCCTTCTCGGCCCCCTCGGCCCATCAATATTATCAATAGCCACTCCTATCAATCAACACACAATGATTCATATACATGTATGTATAAATATATAGATATAGATTGTAAAGGAAACACTAGTATAGAAGAAGATGAGTACCGAAGGGGTTTTTGGTATATCCATCCATGGTGGGACAGTGCCTGGTGCTGAACGACTTAGCGGCGTGGGGAGACTGCTGGTGGAGGGACGTCGAGAACAACCTTGACGCGGTGGTCAGAGGCCTTGCAGACGCCATTGATGAACGGATATTCATTGTGTGTGACTGTGTGAGAGATTGTACAGTGGGTTTCTATCTTTTTCTGTTCTATATAGACCAGAGGAGACGTTGTGTCACGTGACCACAGATAGTGCCATTTAGTAACTTGCATGAGAAAATACTTTGATGCATCGCATCACTAATAAACCAGCGGACCTCCTACCCGTTGGATCCTTTTCTGATGGATGAATATGTGAAGAGTGATATCCATTGATTTACATTGTTTTGACCAAACTATGACTCAATGCTTATTCAGAAGGTAGTATATGTTTTGTCATTTGAGTCACAATCTTGTAACATTATCTTAAATTTAGCATTTTATTAATTTTTGTTGATTAAGGGTTGAATTTAAAACAGAACAGCCCCGTGTGACACAAATTTTACATAACTAAGAAATATGGGTAAGTAGAACGAATTTTTTAGGAGTCGATTGAATAAAAAGAGACTTGAAAATAACACACATAGCACTAAATGTGTGTGACAATTGATCGGCCGACTCTGTTATAGAGGAATACAAACAAGGAGAACAATATCCAATCCACAAGAAAATCTTCAAACCAAGCCCACTCGTGATTGGAGCATTTCTACAAACAGTTTGAATACACCCAAAAAGACAAAACACATGAACTGATTGGTGGACAGAAATCGAAAATGAATATTTAACAAACACCTAATGTGCAATGAACCCTAAATTAAAAATAAAATAAAATAAAATAAAATAAACCCAAATCAAATCAATACTAATATTTAACAAGGCCTTTCTTCATCAAATCGAGTTGAACCTTTCTGACGGCCTTGGCATCCTCGTTGAGCGGAATAGTAACCCACAGGACACCATGTTTCACCTCAGCCTTGAACTGCTCCACATCGCACATCATTTGGTTGGCTGAAATGATGCCACGCTGGTCGCCTCCCTCATACTCATAGTCGGGTTCGCTCTTGATTTTTCCCTCGAAAACTATATCTTTACTCTCATTCACCCACACTTTCAGACCCTCAGAGATTAGACCTGGAAGATCAAGCCTCGTCACTAACAATCCCTCACCCAACAGTCTCCGCCACAATACCTTTCTCGGCCCACCATTCGCATCATTAGCCACTCCTATATATATCAACACAATACTCAATCATATGATTCATATGTATGTATGAATATAGATACAGAAACTTGAGTCAGAAGAAGAAGATGAGTACCGAAGGGGTTTTTGGTATATTCATCCAAGTTGTGATACTGGCTGGTACAGAAATACCGTGCGGCGGAGGGAGAAAAACCAGTGAGGCGCTGCTGGTGGAGGCGGCGGAGGGACATGGCAAACAGCCTTGACGCGGAGGTGAGAGATCTTGAAGACGCCATTGTTGGATCTTCTGCGATATTCACCGTGTGACTGTGTGTGAGAGGCTTTGCCGGGAAGGGAGACAAAGAGAGACTCAGAGTACTTTCCGACAGAGGCGATGCCCAATTGGACGGACTATGAAATGGTTTTCAATTAAATTTTGGAATCATTCTGTAGCGTACGCGTTATTATTACGGAGGGAGGAATGTTAAGGAGAGTCGCTCCCTTTTTTTTCCTTGGTTATTTTAAATTTTATTAATTATATTTTTTTTATTCTCAAACAACGTGAAAAATATAATCAATTTTAAAACAAAATTTACTTTTTAAAAATAAAATTACCTTTTAAATTATTTTTCATTACCATTCTTGTATTTCTTCTTTCAATTCATATACGTATAGTATATATATATATTTTTGCTACCTTTATTTCTTTCTTTTTTACTTCAATTGTGCCATTAGTTACTTGTTTCCTTTTTTTTTTTCTTTATTTCCCTTTTTTTTTTTTCCTAAATTGTTGTCATTTGCCCTTTTTTTTTTTTTTTTTTTCGTCCTTCCTTTCATTTTTTTTTTTCTTATTTTTTTGTAAATTTTTTTATCTAAATTGTTGTGGTTTAATAACAAATTTGGCGAACATTCTCCTATTCTTATTTGTTCTGGTTTAAAATTTAATAACAATTTCATTTAATAAATTTTTTTATAAATTTGATGAACATTCCACTATTCTTATTTGTTCTGGTTTAAAAAATAATAATAAAAAAAAATAAAAAAATAAAAAATTGAAAGGAAGGACGGACAGAAAAAAAAAAAAGGGCTAATGGCAACAACAATTTAGAAAAAAAAAAAAAAAAAAAAAAAGGAAATAAAGAAAAAAAAGGAAGGAAAAAAAAAAGAGTGGCGACAATGGAAATAAAAAGGAAAGAAATAAAATATATATATATATACTACACGTATATGAATTAAGGGAGGAAATATAAGAAAGATAATGAAAAAAGATTTAAAGGGTAATTTTGTCTTTAAAAAGGTGAGTTTTGTTTTAAAATAGGTTATATTTTTCACCTCCTTGAGAATAGAGAAAGAATAATTCATGAGACTTTAAGTAGCCAATGAGAAGAGCGACTGTGAAACTGTGTGAAACCTTGATTTTTTTTTTTTTATTTGTTTGTTACCTTGCAATAGCCAATAGCTAAACGATACTTACAAAAGAAAGACACAACCAACCACAACAACCCCACAAAGAAACAATCTACATATCCAAAACAAAACAAGACCCCAGCCAAAACAACCCAACACCAAGCTTACTCAAGATCACAGTCTTGAGCACAACAAAAGCTTTAGAAAGTGTCAAGTAGTCTGGGGTGGCTAGCTCCTACCAGAAGCGCAAGTTGAGTAGCAAAGGACTGAGACGAAGACGACTCAAAATAACATGAATCACCATTATGCGTGGCAGACTTCCCCGAGGATTCAAAAGGATAACCAAGGCACCAGAAAGACCCTAGGCCTGTTCAACTTGCTTACCAACCACTGGAAACCACCAAAGTTTTTTGTTTCTTTCCCCCAATCAATAGAGACTGATGAACACTCAAGTTAATAGAAGACGACCTTAGAGGTGGTAAATCAAGGAGCCACATAACCCAAGGCAATGACTGAGTGATGACATTAGTGATAGAAACGTAGGGGATACGCTGCATCACCCTAACCACACAAAACAAATAAACCTTGAAAACCGCCCTTGAGAAACGAAAAACGAGAAGCAGGATAATGATTAACGTGAGACACTGAACTCAAGGGTACACGTGGCTATGGCCTACCATCGACCATAAGAAATCTTTCACAATACACATCAATGACGTCAGCCCCATCCCAGCAAAGGAAGACAACATTGGTCCTTTTACCCTAGACATCATCCAAACCAAAAACAGAAAAGAAAATACCCAACGACCGGAAACATATTGACCGGAGCAGACCTTAAATAGAAGAAAGTTAATCATAACCTGCCGCCGTAAATGACACCTTAATCGACCCACCAAAAAAAGATGAAGCCACTGTAAAACATGCGAGAAACCCTCCATCAACACGCTGTAAATGAGACCCACCAAAAAAGGCTGACCAGAAGCAATACCAACATCCACCCAACCATATCGCTGAACAATCCGAATAAACAGAACTAGAACAAAACAAACCAAAGACCCCCAAAACCAAACCAACCAAGAAAATCCCAATATATAAAGAATCCAAGGGACAGAACAGCAACGAGCAAACAACAGTTGAACACTCCACCATATTTGCAAGAAGATAAAAAAAGTTCCCAACAACCAGACTGTACTGGGAATAGCCAGACACAGAAGGTCATAGGTATCCAAAACGAACAAGGCACACATAGAACATAGAAAAAATGAGAGAATAAAGAACAACTAATACCAACCTGATCAAGAAAAGAGAAGGAAAGAGAAAGCTGCCACCAATCAATCCAATCCGACAAGCAAAGAAAGCTCATATGGAAAAGGGAGAACTCCTATTAAAAGGAGAGATGAAACCTTGATATGGTTAAATTACTTACTTTCGTGTAATTTACTTGCGGCTTTTTGGTTTACTTCATGTTAATTAGTAACCTTTAATTGGGGTATATTAAATGGGAGTTAGCAATTATATGTTTTGGTAGTGAAATTATATCCAAAGTGTATACTTAAATTCCTAATTAATTTAAGTAAACTAGTTTTATATATTATTGAACTTGAACAAACCCCACCCTAGTCGCTTTGGGCTTTAATTGTTGTGCCGAAAGTGAAAACATTTTTTTGTGATATGTGTTAGGGATGTGATGAAGAAGCTTAAGTGTTAACCTAAAAGGTCATTCAAAGTCCATCTAATGATTTTGATGATTACAAATCATTAAAAGTGTTCTCGGACTAATGTTTACACTAAGTATGCAGATTAGAAAGATTATATATGCAGAGTAATTACATATAAACATGCATAGACAAACAAATTAACAGCATCATTTTAGAAGAAATCAAGATTACCTCAAGCTCAAAGAGATCATGATCAAGGCTCGAAGAAAAGGGATAGATAGATTGGTGAGTTGTTAAGATTCTTGTCAAAGTAATTTATGAATCCATTTGAAGCTCGTATCTACATGTTTATGCACTCACTTCTAAAAACATTCTCACAATTATCAAGATCTTGCACTTAAAAGAAAACAAAAATTAAGTTTTCAGATCTTGTAACCGGTTAGGAAGAAATCTCTAACCGAGTAGCTGAATTGACATAATGCACATCCAGAGAAACACACCTTGTAACTGATTGGGAGAATCATTAGATGAATGGACAGAAAGCTTATCCTGAGAAACACACCTTGTAACCGGTTAGGAGAATCATTCTAACTTAGTAGATGAATGGACAGAAAGCTTATCCTGAAAAACACACTTTGTAACTGGTTAGGAGAGTAGATGAATGGGCAGAATGAACCATCCGGAAATATAACTACTTGTAACTGGTTAGGAAACTCTTTATAACCGAGTAGTTCCACTAAGACAGAAAGAAGTCATTTCAAGATACATCTTTTGTAACCAGTTAGGAACTTCTTTGTAACCGAGTAGTTGTATCAAGACAGAATGAGTGCTCACTTCACATATAGCTGATGTAACCGTTTAGGAAAGAACTAGTAACCGAATATTAGCTTAGAGTAAACGGTTAGATCTCTCTAAGTAACCGATCAGTTGATCTAGCTAAAAGAATGTACTTAAATCTCCTCCATTCAAGTAACCGGTTAGAAAGAACCTGGTAACCGGTTAGATGAGATCCAAATCTCATCCTCTCGTGTACTTCAAAGTTTAAGTCAGATCCGTTGCCTTCCTATAATTAGCTCCAACGGTTGTACACACATTAAATGTTGATCAACCAACTCCAACAGTCATATTTGAGCAATTAATGCCTCTTATCTACATTGACACTTTATAAAAGAGCATGCATTGAAGAAGATATGTGTATTATTGAGAGAACATTTGAAATATCATTCAAGAGCATTTTGTAATACCCTAATATTTTAAAGGATTTATTAATTGGAATTAATTATTATTATTTTATTTTTAATTAATTTGTTTGATTTGATTGTGATTGATTGGTTTTTATTATTTTTAAATGAGGTGTTCTATTTAATTAAGTGTATAAATTAATTGTCTTGTTTTAATTAAATTATAGTTCGTAATTATGTTGGTTGAATTGATATGTTATTTGATTTGTGAATTGTTTAGTTGATTTGCGTGCATTGAAGCTTGTGTGTATTATTTGTTAAATTATTTTATTTATTTAAATTAATTGAATTGGGTTTGAGCTTGGGCTTGAATGAAACCTTGTTGGGTCAATTATTAAAGGCCCATGGTTGTGAGGATATTTAATAATTATCTTTGCATAATTATACTTATATAATTACATGTTATAAATTTAATTAATTAAAAATCATTTGGAGGGGTATTATAATACCCCCGAATTTCCGAATGCGGGTTGGCCAGGCCCACGCCCGAATACCCGAGGATATCAAAACAAATTGATAATAAACAAACACAGAGTACAAAAGAATAAAGAAGAATAAATAAAATGCTGACAAAAAACTAAAATGATAATCTAATAATAAACCTCATAATATATTTCCATTAATTAATAAACTCTTCTGATACAACTGATCCTCCAAAAACAACTCGAGAATCCATACTGTGTGGACCCCTAGAAAATCCAAACTAAACAAATGACAGTAATCTAAAACAGGAAACTGAATCATAAAGGAACTCCTATGTAGCATCGGAAGAATGAAGTAGACTGATCCCCGCTCAGCACGAACAACCTCTACTCGTGACGAACACCTGAAAAATAATGGTGGGTCAGGCCCACAAACAAGTTCTACTCTACTACAGTCCAAGCAGAGATCCGATATACGTATACATCCTAGTCAATCCAACAGTAACTAATAGTCCGTATATATATATATACACACTAAAGGAACCTCACTAGACTATAGGGTTGTCTCAACCTGAATAGTAGGCAACATGCAAAACGCACATATAGTGGGCATGAGTACCTAGACCTACCAGGGTACACAACTACACTATATCTAGCTACACATCCCTGGCGATATACGCGCCCTAACCATTGATCCTGAGACTCAAGCTCATATCATGGCACCATATTTATATATATATAATCTAGTAACCATCCTATCCAGC